TTTATTGAGAGGGAGGCAGAAAACCAGACAAAGAAACAGAGAGCTAAGAAAACATCAGGTAGTGAGAAATATTATGAAGGGAATAGAATCAAGTTATGTGACCATAGCTGAGGGGTTCTTCAGTTTGGAAGCCTCCGGAGATTCCTCGGAACGGGCAAGGTTGAGGTTGAGATGGGACGGCGATAACGTATGACAGCGGTCACATGTGCTGAACAGAGTAGAAGGACGCTGCCTCTGTATCTGGTCCTGGGTGCACATTCAGATTTCTGACCCTGGAGTTGCTGTGCACTGTGTGTGCCTCAGCTCCTTGAAGGCACAACAGGACCTTTGGTCCTAACTCCCAATCCTACTGGGCCTCCCATCACCATCACCCTCAGCAGGACTTCTCCTCAGCCCTCATCAATGTCTGTGTCTTATTAACTCTTGTTTCATTGAGACTCAGTTGTGTGTCTCTGCCCGTGGCAGCCCATGAAGGCTGCGGAGGCTTCTACCTTCTGAGTGGTGCATGGTGGGGGAGACGGGTCTGGTTTGGGACTGAGTCCTTGATGCTTCTCTCTAGGGCCTGTCTTCAGGGTGAGGCTGCCTTTCTGGTTTGGTCTCAGGGCCCATCTCCTTGCTTTCAGATATGCTCCAAGTGGAATGTGCACCGGGGACAGGGCCCAACCTCATGATCATTGTGAAAATCAGGGATTAGAGAGCTGTGACCTCTGCGTGCCTCATTACTAAGGTGTCAGCAACTTAAGATGACCCCATCGCGTGTTTCTCAAGTTGTTTAATATAAAAATTAGAATAAATATGAAAACACCCCTTGAATTAAATCATCTAAAAGTATACTGTGAATAAAATGAAACACGTGTTATATTGGAAACCTTTGTGATTTTACGAAAGATAAAAATGTTAATAATTCCCATGTGGTGCAAGTCCTCGATGATAAGAAGAGAATAAGGAGAGATAACATGTTATTGAGCAAAACCGCAGAGTGAAAATTCCAGCGGACAACACCTAGATCAGTATGCTCAACTGCGCTGTAATCAGGAAATGCAAATAAGCATGACAAATATTGCTCCTGACCTTCAGACATGCAGGATTAAATCCGGATAGCAGTCACTGCTGGCAGAGAGGCTGGGAAAAACACGCACTTCTATTCTGTTCTGTCAATATTAATTTCTTTGGTTTCTGGGAAAGAATTTTATAGATCTATTGCATTTAAACTGTGCATATGATTTATTAAAAAAAAAAAAAACTTCTGGAGACCTATAGCACAGATATAGAAACTTTTGCATGTAAGGGTCCAGTACAAAAGGTACGGTGGCTTCACGATGAGTAGCAGCAAAATACTAGAAGTGACTTGGATTCCCATCAACAGGTCAAGTCAGTGATGACAAGGAAAGCCAGTGAAAAGAATGCTGGAAGTGTGGACGTGTGGACTTGGATCTCTAGGAAGTAGAATTGGGTGTTCAACAAAGAGAAGACTTTCTGGAATATCACGCCTTACTTGTATGCCGTTTTGTAAGATACGAGCACATGTAGAGCTATGTCTGTAGAGATGCACATTTGCATATGAGAATGAGCACATGGAGAAACTCATTTAACACGTGTTTTTGGGTGGTGGGAACAAGTGATAGCATGGGATGCTAGGCGTGGAGAAGCATGCATTCGCGTATCCAAATAAAAGTTTAGGAAGTGTATTATTACCAAAATAATAAGGACAGTTATCTCATTGTATTGGAAGGTCTGCTGAGTTTTACTTTTACTCCTTAGCCATACTTCTATTTTAAACTTTGTAATGAAAAAATAAATAAATAAAAAAAATAAATTTAGTAATGAAAATTATGAAAATAATAAGACATATTTAAATTTAAAAACGAGGCTGCCATATAAAAGTAAGAAATTAGAGATGGGGGACGATCTAGTGTAATTTCAATTTAGCATTTCCAATATATATAATAATATCATTCTTTTATTTTATAAATTTTTTATAAATTTTTTAAATTTATTTATAAATTTATTTTTCAAATATTTTTATTAAATATTTTAATAAATATTTATAAATTTTTGTTTTTATAATTTTTTATAAAAAATAAATAAATTTTTTTATAAATTTATTTTTTGTAAATTTATTTTTTATTGGTGTTCAATTTGCCAGCATATAGAATAACACCCAGTGCTCATCCCGTCAAGTTAGAGAAAAATTTACTAGTGTCTTTCAGCATATTTACATATATTATAACTCAATTTTAAGATGCACCTAAAAATGCTATATGATAAAGACTCTTAGAAGCATTACAGTGTCATCATAATTCCCATAATGTCATAAAAAAAAATACTGACAAATCCTTTTCCACATTTACTGTGGAGGCTGATACAGAAGACCGATGAGCGACTTGTGCTGGTGGAACCCTTGGTGGGGACTTGGGGTCCTCCCACTGACCCTGGGAATCGGACGCTCCCCGTTATTGGCATTCGTACCTGTGCTGCTGTGTCGGTGGGCAGTTCAGTGCCCTCGACCTCCAGGCCCGCCCCGCAGCACAGGCTCCGCCACAGGGCAGAGGACTCGGGCTCGGCTGCCCTTGACAGTGAGCACGGCCCCCAGCGTCTCAGCAGAGGCGGCTGGAGACAGATTGCAGGAGGAAGGGGCTTCCCGGGGTTGTGGCCGCAGCACGGTGGTCGGCGGGGGGTGTGGGGCCGTGTGGAGGAGTCCTGCCCCAACCCCGCGGCCAGCACGGCCAGTGCTGGGGGCACTTGCACACGCGGTCCAGGTGGGCACCACAGTCTCCAGCACCCTCTCGGCAGGGCGCCTGCATCCCAAGGACCCTTGTCCTGCACAGTCCCAACTCCCCCAGCAGACCCTGCTAGTGGCCTGGGGGTCCCACGAGCCCATGTCTCCCTGCAGGCCCCACGTGCCCACCTCCACCCTGAGCCCCGTCTCTCTGCACATTCAGGCCAGGGGGTGCTGACTGTCTCCTCTCCCTGCACTCTGTGTGCGGGGTTGTTCCCTGGGGCCCAGCTTCAGGCTAGAAAAATCAGGGAACACCTCTGCCATCCAGTGGGTGGGACTAGCCTTGTTGCCTGAGGTCTGACCACAGTGTCAGGGAGAAGGCTTCTTCCCGCCATTGTCCTTCCTTGTTGTCCTCCCTCAGCCCTGGGGCCCACGTGGGGTTCCAGAGAGTCACTCATGCACCAGAACTCAGGTTCCCTTGTACTAACTTCCCCTGGTAACCCACTGTGTGTTTCTAAGTCCAGAGTGGACCCTACATGATGCACATTTGCCGTCTTCCGTCGTCAGCCAACCAATCATCCCCTTCACTGCACCCGGTGAGTCTCCTGGCCTCTGCCCTGGCAGCGTGGTGGGAGGCATACAGAGGGCGCTCAATACAGAGCCACGTGCTGGGGGGGGCCTTCAGGGTGTGTCTGCTTCTGTTGAGAGGCCGTGAGTGGGTGGTGGGCTGCTGGGGCATATTCCACACTGGGGGTGATCCTAGAGCCCCTTGACTCTATGGTTGCTTCCTTCTTACTGATTCTTTTTAAAGACTTTTTCTTTCTTTTCCTTCAGAATATGTTTAAAAAAGAATGTTAACTCTCCACCAGGAAGGGGAACCCTCTTGTACTGTTGGTGGGAATGTGAACTGGTGCAGCCACTCTGGAAATCGGTGTGGAGGTTCCTCAAAGCGTTAAAAATAGATCTGCCCTACGACCCAGCAATTGCACTGCTGGGGATTTACCCCAAAGATATTGATGTACTGAAACAGTAGGGCATCTGCACCCCCATGTTTACAGCAGCATTGTCCACAATAGCCAAACTTGGAAGCCCAGATGTCCTTCAACAGATGATGGATAGAGAAGCTGTGGTCTATGTATGCATGGAATATTCCTCAGCCATTAGAAATGACAAATACCCACCATTTGCTTCGACGTGGATGGAACTGGAGGGTATTATGCTGAGTGAAGTAAGTCAATCGGAGAAGGACAAACATTATATGGTCTCATTCATTTGGGGGAATATAAATAATAATGAAAGGGAATAAAGGGGAAAGGAGAGACAATGAGTGGGAAATACCAGAGAGGGAGACAGCACATGAGAGCCTCCTAACTCTGGGAAACGAACTAGGGGTGGGGAAAGGGGAGGTGGGTGGGGGGTGGGGGTGACTGGGTGGCGGGCACTGAGGGGGGCACTTGATGGGATGAGCACTGGGTGTTATGCTATATGTTGGCAAATCAAACTCCAATATATATATATATATATATATATGATTGTATTTCATTTTCTTTGAGTATATACTCAGAAGGGGCAATATGGCAACACATATTAGATCCATTTATTGTTTGTTTTTTTTTTTTTGTAGGTCTTCATATTGTTTTCCACAGTGGTGCAACCGTTTATATTCCTTTCAACAGTATATTGTGGTTCTCTTTTCTCCATAAGCTTGCAAACACTTCTTACCTCTTGTCTTATTGATGACACCGTTCTAATAGGTGTGCCAGTGCAGGTTTGAATAAACCCTCAAGGCTGAATAGTGAGCTCATCCAGCCTATCAGCAGAGCTGGTCATCATGAGGCCGCTGTATCCTACAGGTTGAGAGAAAGCCTGGAAACAAAGTCGTTTTCTGAAAAATATTCAAATATGGAAACTCTTGATTTAAAACCTGTGTCAGGGGGGCAGCCCGGGTGGCTCAGCAATTTAGCGTCACCTTCTGCCCAGGGCCTGATCCTGGAGACCCGGGATCGAGTCCCACGTCGGGCTCTCTGCATGGAGCCTGCTTCTCCCTTTGCCTGTGTCTCTGCCTCTCTTTCTGTGTGTCTTTCATGAACAAATAAATAAAATGTTAAAAAAAAAAAAACCTTGTCAGAATCAAAGGACTAAAGTGATCTTTCTAAAGGGCCTCTGGCTGTGCTGTTGACTCTCCAGTGGTTTCTCCAAGTACCAACATTTCCCAACTTCATCTAGCCCGGATTCTGATCTGGCACCTCCTGATTGGCGCCCTCTGCCTATATAAGGTCAGGATGTGCAACGCTGGGGTCAGAGTCCTACCTTCTCCTGAGCTCTGACGCTTTCCTCTCTGTGCTCCCTGCTGATCCATTCACCAGCATGAAGGTCCTGGCGTTGCTGGTCCTGGTGGCAGTCTCCACCTTCCTGGTCTCAGGCCGTAAGTAGAGTTCCTTACTTGAAATAAAGTCTGGAGCAAGACTATATCACGGTGTAAGCTCTGTGTGGATGTGGGTTCAGAGGGGCTCAGAATTTGGCCCCTGTGTCCTCCATTCCACTCCCCTATTCATCCCTGTTTTGCCTGAGCGCTCAAGATAGAGTGGACTCTCCCTTTGAGCTCAGACAATTCAGGCAGCCATTGGTTCAGTCTTACCTTCGAATGCCATTTCGATGTTAGTTCAGGACAAGATGTTTAAAAAGGTCATCAGAGATTGGTTTCAGGAAAGCAAAAATTGATCCATATTATGGGGACTTTGGGTAGGGTTTTATATCTTTTTGCCCTCAACATGCGCAGCAAAGCCTAAGGTTCTTCAGCTGTGAAAGCCTGCGATTTTGTCCACATCGTCTCTTCTGTCTACCCCCCAAACTGTTGTTCAACTTACATCTATTTTGTCTCTTTCTCTTTCAGAGGATACAACAGATGCTCTGTCTGATAGCTCTAGTGGTAAGTCTGTACGTGCACCTTCCAGTCATGATGTCTTCCATCCCGGCCTCGTGTCACGGCAGCCGTGGGGGACACAGTGCAGAGACTCCAAAGCAGGAGCCTGGGGAAACACATTCCTGTTTCTAAAGTTCATTGTGAACATAGAAAATACGTTGATTTCTTATACATTATTAGAGAATACACAGTCTCTGGCATGGATTTGTATGAATCGTGGATTACATAAATATTCTTTATGAAAAATGACAAGGTCACATGGTCTGAATTTGTAGTCTAAGTATTTGCGGAGTTTAAGTACAGTCTTTCTGATTCCCCTAAATTGAACGGCTGAATACGTAGCCAGCATGTGAAAAGAGGGGTTAATAAGTCTCAGGTGAAGGAAGAGAATGTAGATGCCGGAGGTAGAGACGTGGGCGTTAGGAGCACGTGGACGTGTGGAATGTTGACTGTGGAACGTAGGGGTGAAGTAGAAGGAGGACCTTACGGGTTGCTCTTTGTAGCAGTATATATGCCTTATTCCCAGGCCGATCTGTGTTGTCCTGTGCGGATCTGAAACCCAGCATCGTGGACCAAAGCTCTCGTATTTCTTGGGTTTCTCCCAGGTTGTCCTGTATGTCCAACACCATCCATGTGTGTCGTGCTCATGCAGACAGGAGGACGATTTCTCTTTTCATCCTCCACAATTGGGGACCTGTGTCCTTTGATCATAAGGGCATAGACTGCAGTCACACCTCACGTATTGAGTAACATGTCCTACCTGCCCTGTGGGGTAGGACAGCTGAGAACAATATCCTGCCTCCTGTGTGAGGACCACCTACCCGGCATGGCTCCAGCGTGGGCTCGGAGAATGAGCTTCCACTTGTTGAGGCAGATGCACGTCACAGATGTAGGGTCGGCCTGTGGCTGCCTGTCAGGAGCTCTGGTGTAAGGAGTAGAGAGCGATAATCGTCATCGATCTTGCCACATAACCTTTGAACATGGGATGATCGATGGGGCATTTGCTCACATTTATCATTGCCAGAATAGGATTAATGTCTCTCATTTCATCTCATGTGGCTCTCCTGGATATTTCTGTAATAGATGGAGTCCAGGTTGAACAGTAGGAGAGACAAGTACAATCCTCTTTCAGTCCTGAACCTGCGGGAAGAGACTGTGGGTTGGTTTTTTCTTTTTTCTTCCAAAGAAACAAAATTCTATTTTTTTAACTATAAATTTATTTTTTTTTATTGGTGTTCAATTTGCCAACATATAGAATAACACCCAGTGCTCATCACTGAGGTGGGCACTTGATGGGATGAGCACTGGGTGTTTTTCTATATGAAACGAAATTCTATTGCTTGAGCCTGAGAAACATGATCTTGTTCTTTCTTCTCTTCTTCTGTACAGTTTACTGCACCCCTCACACTCGTGCATGCTGTGGTGGAAACTAAAGAGTTCCAGTTCGCCCATGGGAGGGCACCAGAAAGCCTACTAGGGGTTCCCTTCTTGCCTCTCAGCCACCATCCCTGTAACTAGGAACACATATGGGTTTGGTGTTTTGTGCCACCTCTGGGGAAAGTATTTGCTTGTGTCTTCTCTTAGTGTCACAGTTTTGTAGGGGAGCCCAAATTCCTTCAGCTCCACAAGGCGGGACCACTAAGAATGAGGCTAAAGAAAGTGGGTAGCCAGGCGAAGGGTGTGACACAGCTGTTGACATTTGCAGAGATGAATTCAGAAGGAGGACTGTGCCTCCAGGCTCATGTGGACAAATTGTGTTTCCTGGGGAAGAGTCAAATGTCTTAGCTGGATCTTTTCTTCCTATTTCAGTTGCCCCTGAAGCCACCAGTGAGGCCCCGGCCACCACAGCTGATGCCGCCACTGAGGCCCCGGCCACCACAGCTGATGCCGCCACTGAGGCTCCGGCCACCACAGCTGATGCTGCCACTGAGGCTCCGGCCACCACAGCTGATGCCGCCACTGAGGCTCCGGCCACCACAGCTGATGCCGCCACGGAGGCTCCGGCCACCACAGCTGATGCTGCCACTGAGGCTCCGGCCACCACAGCTGATGCCGCCACGGAGGCCCCGGCCACCACTGCTGCGGCCACCACTGCAGCTCCTACCACCAAGACCAGCAAGACTAAATTTATCACTAAGAAGCGTAAGTCCGCACCATCTACGTGGTTACTATTTGGGCTACCGGATTACTAGGTTCTCTATTGTCCCAGTAGACTTTAGACGCCCTAAAAAAGCTCTGTTTTCATTATCCTCTAACTCCTTTTGATTTACCAAATCAAGTCAGTAGATAAATCTCAGAGGAGCCTGAGGTTGTAGCTTCTTATTTACCAACCTACCTGCATGGTCTTTAAATGTTTGCGTTTACCAGGGAAAATTCATTTTTAGTAGAAATGCCATTGGAAAGACCAAAGCAGGTGTCCCCTTGGGGTCAGGTAACCATATGTGGTTTTTTTGTTCTGTTTTGTTTTTTCCTTTTTATCAGAAAAGTTTCTGTTTCCTTCAAAGACTTTTCTAAAAATAGACAACAGCCTTAAAATCAGGCTTTCTTGAGGCAGAAGCTTGTGAGCATTCCTCAGGGTATTTTGGGGTATTTTTCACATCCATTATAGGACCAAGACAGTACAGTCTTCCTAGTCCTGGCTCATCATTCCGGTCCTTCAACACTCATGGAACATGGACCACAAAATTTGACTCTGGTATATGCTAGGCATCGTTGTATACAATACACATATCAGTGTCATTTAAATCTCTGAGTCATCCTACGAAGGTAAACATTGTAAAGATGAAGGAATGGAAAATGTACAAGGAAAGACTTTCCCCTTAGCTTAGGGCAGAGATTGGATTTGTGCCTAAACAATCAAAGTCTTGAGGAAACCTTTTCAAATATTTCCTATGCTCTTTGAGTGTCGAGGCCATTCCTTGGCACCTTGCTCGGGGATGTGTAGTGGCTGCCTTTGGATGAGAAAATGATTATTCATCCCCATTTTGAGAAGAAGGCAGTGCTGCTCTGTGTTAGGGTAGATAGAAAACTAATGCAAATTGGCCTACTTTCTGTTCTCTCTAAACTTCCAGCTTCCCCAGCTTCCTGTCCAGAGCTGCCAGTCTTGTTTTTTGGGGGGATGAGCATGTCGTGTTCCCTTGACTCCACAGAATTCAATGTCATTTGACATTTGTTCGTGTCCTTGCAAATTCCCAAGAGAGAAGTCACATTCTTCATCCTTTTTTGAAGCCTTCTTGATTATATATTTTATTCTCTTATAGCCATCCCTGGCTGGCTTAAGAAAACACTGAGATGGAATTAGCCTTGGCCTTCTGCGTTTGTTCCTGCTGGACTCGGCCACTTGTCTCTTCATTTGATTACTTCACCCACTTACCATGTGTACCAACTATCTCTTAACCCCAATAAATGTATCTGTTTTCAAATAAAAAACAACATTGAGCAACATCACAAATCATATATTTTTAAGAGGTTGGAGGGTGGTTTGTCCAATGATTCAGTCAATCCCAGTGACAGATACTTTGAATTTTTTCCAGTCCTTCCTGTGTGACTGTGTATTGGACTTTGTCATGTGTACCCAATTTTTTATTTATTTTTTTTTTGTGTGTGTACTCAATTTTTAAACATACTACACAACTATAGGGCCCATCTCCAGAGTTTAGAGGTTTCTCTCACCTGAATGCACTAGTCAACATTTACTAAGCACCAACAGCCATTTTTGATTCCATCAAACTCTACTATGAACTGAGCCATATTTAGTCTCTTATCGGCAAAGACTTAGCAGGTGAGAAGCAGGAAAGCAGCCCTGCCACCTGGGAACTAGCCTGGCACAGCAGGGCTTCGGGGGCGTTAGGGCTGAGCTGGGCGAGGGCTGGGAAAAGTGCTCCCCTATTGCACACATGCAAAGTCACAGAAGGCCAAGGGCAGACACGGGCGCTCAGTGACTGTGATGAATGGAGGCAAAGAGCAAGGTCACTTCCAGTGTTGTTTCCATGCAGACAAAAGCAGTGTCTGTGCCAAGCCCACAGCAGCACGGAGCTCTTTTTCCTGGTTAATGAGTGATGCTGCTTATTACCTATCAGAGCTTTTGCCTCTTGCCAGTCTCTTCTCTTTCTAGAAAAGTTTTGTTAAGTTCCCCAATCATTGCATACTTGTGCTCCCTGACACCATCCAGTCCAGGGTGGAGGCCTGCTTCCCTGAAACCTCCCCTAAGTCACCTAACTCAAGCCCAAATCCTACGTGAGTGTTTTCTAACATCCTTGAGCTGAGATGCCCCTTTGCAATTCCCCATGTATATGGTCTCCCCCAATGCTATGATGATCACGCCAAGCTCCCGACCTACAGCTGTGCTCCTGGTGGGTTTTGGATGGAGGGCTTTGTCACCCGAATGCATAATGGGGTGAATATTGTGTATGAAGGAGTCGTGGTGTGTTTTCCTTTCCAACTGTGGACATATGCCCAATTTTCACACACTTGCTAAATGAGAATGTTTCGATTTTCCCTGGTTCTTACTAACAGTCCACTAAGCAGTGCGCAATTCATGAAAAGCAACATGTCCATGCTCTGATAGGGAAATGGTTGAGTTTGGTATTTTATTCCCACTAAATCTGTTTTATTATTTCAAATGAGTCTGGCCTGCCAATGGATGAGAGGTGAAGGAGACTACTGAAGATTAAATTGGCGTATTCGGATTGTTTGAGCTGGGATTGACGTCATGAGGGCTGTGCAGGAATTGCTAAGGGCCAAGATGGAGTGGCGTACCCTAATAGACGTAGCTAACACCTTCTTTTCCATACTAGTTGGAGTCACCCCTGCACACTCTGAATTTCATAGAATAGATCTCAGTGTTTGTTTACTGTGTATCCACAGGGAAATGTGTGTGTGTTAGCATGTTACCATAATTTAGTTAGGATTCAGAGTTAATGACCAGTAGGGGCAAATTAGCACATGTTGCAATTATTCTTGCCTCAGAGGAATGAACTAAAAAGAAGGAAAATCTTTAGTATCCATAGGACACCTAGAGGGAAGTTGAAACTGCCAGCCCATATTTCAGGTCAAGTGCCACGTGTGAAATTCCTGAGAATTACTTCAGCTGGCACAGTAGAAATAGTGCTTAAACTTTGCGACACTTTGGCACGTTTTTCAGATCATACTAATAAGCAAGAAGGTCAGAGATTATTAGGACTGTTCTGTTGTTGGCAAAATCATGCTGGTCCTGTAGAAATCCTGGTAGCCTCTTCTCACAAGGTGACCAGAGAGTCGTCTCAATTCCAGGAGACCCTGAGCTAAAATTGTTGGCGGATTACCTGAAAGCTGGCTCCAGGGTAGGCCCTATGAGCCACAGGGTGTGGCTACACCATACAAGTCTCTGTCGTCATACATACGCGGCATCTGATACCCGCGGTAGAAATTGAAGAGGATTTCTCTGCAATGCAGTCTTGTATTTTGGATTTGAAAACTAATTGAGCATATTCTTCTCCCAGAGTATTTGAAAAATAGCTTTTAGCTGGGGCAGCCCGGGTGGCTCAGTGGTTGAGCGCCGCCTTCAGCCCAGGGAGTGATCCTGGAGACTCAGGATCGAGTCCCACGTCGGGCTCCCTGCATGGGGCCTGCTTCTCCCTCTGCCTGGGTCTCTGCCTCTCTCTCTCTCTCTCATTAATAAATAAATAAAATCTTAAAAATAGCTTTTAGCTTCTTATTGGTGTTTAATTAAACCAAGTCCTTCCACTGAAGAGCACCAGGTGACCTCTGGTTTCCTGTGTCTCCTGGATGATGACAGAAATGGTCAAATATGTGAGCGGTGGCATGGAAATATTCACTCATAGAGGGGCAATTTATTTTTAAGAACATTGTAGCGAAAGAAGTTTATAGAAAGTCCCACACAGGGACGCCCGGGTGGCTCAGCAGTTGAGCGCCTTCCTTCAGCCCAGGGCGTGATCCTAGAGTCCCAGGATAGAGTCCCACATCGGGCTCCCTGCATGGAGCCTGCTTCTCCCGCTGTGTCTCTGCCTCTCTCTGTATCCCTCATGAATAAATAAAAATAAATTTTTAAAAAAGAGTCCCACACAACACAAGCAAGCTGTGTTGCTACTTGTTGGGTGGAAAATAGAATTGCAAGGAATATCCCTGACCTCATCACTGAGTGGTCTGATGCAAGACGGATGGCTGGATTTCCAGTGGGATGTCTTGTGTTGAGCCCTATATTGCTGTTTGGAAGTCAGTTTGCAGCAGATTTTGTTGGTACCAAAAGTCTGATGAAAATGTGCAAGGTTAGGCTTGCCCAGAGAGTAGAATTAAATAGGCTTCATTTAGCTCTGGACAAGGTGTGAGGCTCCTGTCCCTAGGGAAGCATTTAGATGCTAGTCTGTGGGGTTATATCCAAGAATTGTGTGTATTGTCAGGCTAATGTGCCCCAGGCCATTAGGGAAAATAATGCTACTCCTATGATGCTCTCAGACGAGGGAAATGTTTTTGAGAATTTAGTTGAGGAATTGAAATCATGAGGATATGAAATAAAAATAAATTATTGGCTAAGAAAAGGATCGAAATGCTGACATAGCTCCCTAGGTAACTTTGGGTCCTAAAGGAGATGGAGATGCATGGGGAAGCTCAGGACAGGCCCCCATGGACTGGAGAGGACACAGCCCCCTTGAACACAACAAGGGGAAATGATGTGCACAAGAAAATGCATCCAGTATTTACCAGAAGGGTTTTGCTCACAGCAGTTGTGGGTGAAATTAGCTAATATGGGCAAGTGAACCACATGGAACCTCTCATGGCAGCCCCAGGATTCTGTAACCGGGCGGAAGTGCCGTTAACCAGGCGCCTCTTCTCTAGGGTTTGCTTGTGAAGGAGCAACCCTGGAGATGCAATGAAGGTTTGGGACATCCAATTCTTCATCATTTTGGTCCACTTGAATGTGTTTCTTCTCAGATGATGAACCATACTGCTAGTAGCAACTAGCAATCACTATTTAAGGAACTGAGGTGATAAATAAAACGTTATGTTTTTTATGAAATCCAGTTTTTCAATTTTTTTCCCATTAGGGCTTCTTTTGGTTTTCTATCTAAGAAATGTTAGCATCCCCTACGTTTAGAAAGATACACTTTTAGATTTTTAGATGATTTATGATCAAGTCTTTGATTTTTGTGTATGGTATAAGGTATGGCACATGGTTTATTTCTTTTATCGAACAGGTAATAAGTATAATTACAGTATACATTGTTAAAAACTTTTCTTTCCTCTATTGAACAGCTTTAGCATTTTTGTGAAAAACGAATTATATAAGTGTGCAAGTATTTTTAAAGTCTCTGTTCTGTCCCATTTCTGATCCATTTCTCTAAATCATTATCTGTTTTTTTTTATTATTGTAACTGTATAAGTCTGAAATCAGGTGATTTTTTTTAAAATTAAAAAATATTATTTAAATTCAATTTAGTTAACACAGAGTGTATTATTAGTTTCAGGAGTAGAATTTGTGATTCATCAGTTGCCTATACCACCCAGTGCTCATTACATCAATCACCTCCTTATGCTCATCACCCAGTGACCCCATCCTCATCCCCCACCCACCTCCCCTCCAACAACCCTCGGTTTGGTCCCATATTTAAGAGTCTCTTGTGGTTTGCCTCCTTCTCTGTTTTTATCCTGTTTAATTTTTTCCTTCCCTTCCTCTACGTTGATTAATTTTGCTTCTTAAATTTGACATATGAGTGAAATCCTATAGTATTTCTCTGATTGACTTATTTCATTTAGCATAATATCACCTAATTCCAGCCATGTTATTGCAAATGGCAAAATTCCATTCTTTTTAAATGGTTGAGTGATATTCCTGTGTGTGTGTGTGTGTGTGTGTGTGTGTGTGTGTGTGTGTGGTGGTGGTGTGATTCTTTTAACTTTCTTTCTAAGATGGTGTTTTTAGCAACCTATCAGTTTTTACTTTGTCACATACACTGTGGAATCTGTATGTCAATTTTTACAAAGAAGCCTACCAACACGTTGATTGGGATTGGTTGAAGATATAAATAAATATATTTCAAAATAATTGTTTTTTTCTAAGACATGAAACTAATGATTCTATATTTATTAAAGGTGATTTTTATATATTTTTATTTGAGTTTGATTAAAGGTGATATGATTTGAGTCATCAATGTTTTGTAGCTTCACTGTAGAGGTGTAGATATTTTGGGATTAATTTGCCCAAAAACAAATATATATTTCCCATGTTGTTTTAGAGAGTGATTTACAAATGTTCATTTTCCCATTGATCATTACTAACAGGTAAAAATAGAATTGTTAATATGTTGAATTGCTATCTTATGATGCTACTTAAGCTATTTTTTCCCAGTAGATTTGTGTGTGTGTGTGTGTGTGTGTGTGTGTTTCTGAGTGGTTGTATGAGTGCCACCAAGTCATCTGCAAGGAATGCCAGTTTACTCCATTGTTTC